AAAAAAAAAAAAAAAAAAAAAAGGCTACTTTAATAGTGGTGGTTACTATATTATAATTTAACCTTAATATCAAGGAATATACATTTAGTAGAGTGATAGAGGTACAATTCAACAAATACTGAGTACTTATGTGCCTTCTACTGTTCTAGATTCTGTGAAGGAATTAAAAAATATATGATGTAATGTAAGCCTGCTGCAAATGTAAAAATTCTTATGTCCGTTTCCTGGATATTGTGCTAGCCAGAGGTTATTTTATCAGCTCTTGATTGACTTATTCATTCAAAAGAAATTTAGGTAAATGTGTTTGAAAGAATTCATTAAAAATATCATAATATTACATTTATAATAGATTTTTTTTTAACTTAGAAACAACAGTCACTGTTTTCAGAAGAAGAAGAATATACCACTGGATCTGAGGTCACTGAAGATGAAGTTGGAGATGAAGAAGAAGTATCCAAAAAACAAAGTATTGGTTTATAAGTTAAAATCAAATCTCACTGTTTATGAAGGGGTTACATTCTGCAGCCTTTAATGCAAGGGACAGGGAATTAATTTTATATATATAGTAGGTTGCAACATAGGAAAAAAAAAATTAGAAAGGAGACACCGTCAAGATTTCCTAACCTGGGCATGAACACAGAATACTCAAAGCTATAAAGAAAGGGCAGTACACTGAGAAAGAACTCTCCAGGTTTTCATTTCAGATGCAACTAAATGTGTGACTCATGTCAGATGAAATGTGATCTGAGGTGTGTACCTGAGATGATTTGGAGTGATACTCAAATGAACCATTAAATAGCATTCATAAATGTATGATTATTTTAGTGGAAAGCATGTTTTGTTTTTTGTTTGTGGTTTTTTTTTTGAGACGGAGTCTCACTCTGTCACAGTGGCACAATCTTGGCTCACTGCAATCTCTACTTCCTGGGTTCAGGCAATTCTTCTGCCTCAGTCTCCTGAGTAGCTGGGACTACAGACGCATGCCACCACACCCGGCTAATTTTTTTGCATTTTTAATAGAGACAGGGTTTCACGATGTTGGTCAGGCTGGTCTTGAACTCCTGACCTCAGATGATCCACCCGCCTCGGCCTCCCAGAGTGTTGGGATTACAGGCGTGAGCCACTGTGCCTGGCCGAAAGCAGGATTATTATACAACATAAAATTAACTTGTGTCAAAATTTCTCAACTCATTAGTTCCAAGAAACAGCAAGGAAAATTGGTTCAAAGAGCCTTTGAAGACTCAAGTATTTATAGGCAATTATGAATCCATTTTGTTACAATAATTTATCTCTTTTAGGATTTCATATGAGTGGAATCATGAGTAATCTTTTGTCTCTGGCTTCTTTCACTTAGTATAAGGTTTTTGAGATTCATTCATATTGTTTATTCCTTTTTATTGCAGTGTAGTATTCCATTATACTACTTTTGAAAAAAGAATGTTGGTCTGGGCACGGTGGCTCATACCTGTAATCCCAGCACTTTGGGAGGCTGAGGCAGGCAGATCACCCAAGGTCAGGAGTTCAAGACCAGCCTGGCCAACATGGTGAAACCTCATCGCTACTAAAAATGTAAAAATTAGACTGGGCATGGTGACTCATGCCTGTAATCTCAGCACTTTGGAAGGCTGAGGCAGGCAGATCACCTGAGGTTAGGAGCTCAAGACCAGCCTCTCCAACATGGTGAAACCCCATCTCTACAAAAATACAAAAATTAGCCGAGCATAATGACAGGTGCCTGTAATCCCAGCTAATGGGGAGGTTAAGGTGGGAGAATTGCTTGAATCTGCAAGGTGGAGGTTGCAGTGAGCCGAGATCATGCCATTGCACTCCAGCCTGGGCGACACAGCAAGACTCTCTCTCAAAAAAAAAAAAAAAAATACAAAAATTAGCTGGATGTGGTGGCAGGTGCCTGTAATCCCAGCTACTCAGGAGGCTGAGGCAGGAGAATCACTTGAACCCAGGAAGGGGAGGTTGCAGTGAGCCGAGACTATCCCATTGCACTCCAGCCTGGGCAACCGGAGTGAAATTCCATCTGAAAAAAAAAAATTTAAAAGAAGATTGTAAGTTAGATACAAAATTGATCAGTGTCATACAACTTAGTGAACCCATAACTCTTAGGTTATCTTTTTAGAAATCGTTTGCATTTTTATTAGACACAAAAACCTGAAAGTTAACATGTAACTTTCAGATGCCATCAGTAGATGGTAGTCAGACGTGGTACATTCTCTTAGAGAATTAAATGATTCTTGAGTAGGCATGTTAAACAGCCCTCCAATATGACATTGAAAACACATGCTGCCTTCCCTTTATCTTCTCTCCAAGTTTTACATAATTTTTCTTTACATGTTGAATCCTCCAATGAAAAAGCTGGTTCTTTAGCAATTTTGTGTCAATTTTAATTAGTAAAGGAGAAAGTTCTACTAGGTTTTTTCTTCAACAGTTTGAGGTATAAGTTATATGTTGCAAAAATCACCCATTTTAAGTGTACATGTAGATGAGTTTTGGCACACAGATGTGTAACCACCACCAAAATCAAAATCTGGAACATCATTTCAAAAAGTTCCTTCATCCCCCTTTGTACTCAGTTCCCTTTCTCCAGTTCTGCCCTTAGGCAACCATGAATCTGCTTTGTCAAAATAATTTACCTTTTTAAGAGTTTCATATGAATGGAATCATGAGTAATTTTTTGTCTCTGGCTTCTTTCGCTTAGTATGAGGTTTTTGAGATTCATCCATGTTATTGCATGTGTCAGTAGTTTAGTCCGTTTTATTGCAGAGTAATATTCCATTATATGGATATACCATACTTTGTTTATCCATTTGCAATTTCATGGACATATGGGTTGTTCCCTCTTGTTGGCTGTTGTGAATAATGCTGCTATGAACATTTGCATACAAGTCTGTATGGACATGTGTTTTCATTTTTCTTGGGTAGGTACTTAGGAGTAAAATTACTAGATCATATGGTAAGTGTATGTTTCGCTTTATAAGAAACTGCCAAATTGTTTTGCAAAGTGACCGTTTTGCATCTCCACGAGCAGTGGAGCATTCCCACCACTGTGCGTTCCCACCAGCAGTGTCTGAGAGTTCTAGTTGCTGCACATTCACGTTAATACTTGGTATTACTGGTCTTTTTAATTTTGGCCATTCTAGTGGGTAGATAGTAATAAGCATCTTTTCATGTTTTTATTGACCATTTATATATCTTTTTAATGAAGTGTTTGTTTAAATCTTCGGCCCATTTTTATTGAATCCTTTGCCTTATTATTGAGTTGTAAGATTTCTTTATATATACTTTAGATCTAAATCTTTTTTGTCAGTCATATGTTTCTCAATATTTCCCCTAGTCTATGCTGTGCCTTTTAATTTTTTTTTTTTTTTTTTTTTTTTTTTTGAGAGAGTCTGTTTCTGTCATCCAGACTGGAGTGTAGAGGTACGATCTCTCACTGCAACCTCTGCCCCCTGGGTTCCAGCGATTCTTCTGCCTCAGCCACCTGAGTAGCTGGGATTACAGGTGTGCACCACCACACTGGACTACTTTTTGTATTTTTAGTAGAGATGGGGTTTTGCCATGTTGGCCAAGCTGGTCTCGAGCTCCTGACCTCAGAGGATCTGCCTGTCTCGGCCTCCCAAGTGCTAGGATTACAGGCATGAGCCACTGCACCAGACCTAATTTTCTTAATGATGTCTTTTGAAGAGCTTAACTTTTGAATTTTGTGAATTCTAATATTTTAGTTTTTCCTTTTTATGTTCCATTATTTAATAACTAAGAAGTATTTGCCTACCCCAAAGTCACAAAGATTTTCTGCTGCTTTCTTCTAGAAGTTGTATGATTTTAGCTTTTTATTTAAGATTATGATCCCATTCAGGTTAATTTTTGTTTATTGTATGAGTTAAGGGTCAAGCTTCCTTTTTTTCCATCGGCATAGCTGGTTGTTCCAGCACCGTTTATTGAAAAGACTATTCTTTTCTAATATATTGGAATACCTTGGCATCTCTGTTAAAAATCAGTTGACTGTTTACATTTCCAAACTCTCTGTTTTCTTCCATTGATTCTTATGTCTTTCTTTACATCAGCATATCAATACCACACTATTAATTTTTGTAGATTTTAGTGAGTCTTGAAACCTGGTGGTGGGAGTCCTCCGAAATTGTTCTTTAATTTTAAATTATTTTGGCCTTTCAAGGTGCTTTGCATTTTCTACAAATTTTAGAGTCTGTGTGGATATTTCTACAAATATCTTTTTGGGACTTTTGTTGGGATTATGTTGAACCCATATCCAATTTGGGGTGAATTCCTTTTTTTTCCAATGGCAGTTTTTCCCATCCATGAACATGGAATATCTCTCCATTTATTTAGGACTTTTTTAATGTAACTCAACAATGTTTGTAGTTTCAGTGTACAGGTGTTGAACATCTTTTGTTAAATTTATTCCTCCCTATTTTTATGCTATTGTAAATGGAATTGTTTTTCTGGTTGCTCATTGATTGTAATACTAATGATGGTCAAAATATAATTGATGTTTGTATATTGACTGTGTGCTATGACCTTGCTAAATTCAGTTATTTGTTCTTCATTTATTAGATTTCATTCCAATCTGTATACCTTTTATTTACATGTCTTGCCTTTTGTGCTGGTTAGGACCTGATATTGAATAGAAGTGGTGAAAAGAGACAGACATCCTTACCTTGTCTTATGGGGAAAACAGCCAGTCTTTAACCATTAAGTATGTAATGTTAGTTTTCGGCTTCCCATAAATGTCCTTTCTCAATTGAGAAAGTTCCTTTCTGTTTCTCTTTTGCTGAGTTTTTATAGCGAATAGGTGTTGCCTTTTGTCAAATGCTTTTTCTCCATCTGTTGAGAAGATCATATAGATGTTCTCCTTTATTGTATCAATTAGGTACATTAATTGATTTTTCACATGTTACACCAGTATTCTGGTGTACTAGAGTCATAATGACATTAGAAAATGAGTGACATCACCCCTCTTTTCTGGAAGAGTTTGTATAGGACTTGTGTTGTTTCTCCCTTAAAAGAATAATAAAATTCAGCAGTGAAGCCATATGGGCCTGGAGCTTTTGTTATAGGAAGGCTTTAAATTATGAATTCAATTTCATTAGTTAATAGATGCTATTCAAGTTTTCTATTGCCTCTTCAATTTGTTCTGATAATTTCTGTCTTTCAAGGAATTTTATCCAATTTGTCAGATTTATTGGCATAAAGTCACTCATAGTCTTTTTTTTTTTTTTTTGAGACAGAATCTCACTCTATCACCAGGCTGAAATGGCACAATCTCGGCTCACTGCAACTTCTACCTCCTGAGTTCAAGCGATTCTTGTGCCTTAGTCTCCCGAGTAGCTGGGATTACAGGCACACACCACCATACTTGGCTAATTTTTGTACTTTCAGTATAAATGTAAATGTGCCTAATTATAAAGCCCTAAAATATACAAAGCAAAAACTGACAAACCTGTAAGGAAAAATACACAGATTACCACTTATAGCTAGAGATTTCAATACTTTTTTCTTACAGCTACTTGGGAGGCCAAGGCATAAGAATCGCTTAAACCTGCAAAGCAGAGATTGCAGTGAGCCGAGATCATGCCACTGTGCTCCAGCATGAGTGACAGAGCAAGACTCTGTCTCAAAAAAAAAAAAAAAGAAAATGAAAATGAACCGCTGTAAAGCAATTTCAGCTTTGCTTCATGGTGTATTTGCTTTTTACCCAGAAGTTAATTTGTTAGTTTTCTTAAAACAATGTTTTTCTTAATGGTCTTATTGTTTAGAAGTAACAAGTAGACTGGAAAGGTATATGGGGCTTAAGCTTATAACATTGACCTCTCATTATCAGGGAAAAAGGAGAAGCCAAAGAAGTTCACTAGACAACCAAAAAAGCAGGTATCTTCACCCTGTGCTCAGAGGAAAGAAAAGGCATTGGAGAAGGTAATTCTGAATTATCTGTTGTTATTTTAAAGTTCATGTGGAAAAATAAACAAGTGACTATAGCCAGCTAAAAATAAAAAGTTAAGAGTAATGAAGACACATGGAATGCTAGCAATGTAAAAATGAAGTTTTTTGTAGACTGAGATTAAAGATCTCTAAGATATATTGCCAAATGAGAAAAGGAAGGTACAGAAATGTATAGTGGTATAGTATGCTACCATTTGTGTAAAGTAGATGGGGGAAAAATATAAATGAACTTCCTTGTATATGCATAAAATGTCTCTGGAAGGCTACATAAGAACTTGATAAAATTGGTTGCCTCTTAGGAAGGGAACTGAATGTATAAGGGACAGAAGTGAGAGTCTTTTATTGTATGTGCTATTTATACCTTTTGAAGTTTAAACCAATATTACTTATTCAAAAAATTAAAAATAGGCTGTTAAATTAAAAATAAATTATATTTTATGACATTTAAAAATAATTCTTATTTCTCCATGCCTTTGAAGGAAGGGGTAAAAAAGCCAGACAGGAATAAGAGAATAGTAATAACCACAATTGGCTAAAAGAAAAACTGTGAATTTCAAAAATGTGTGATAGGTTAAGGCTGGGTTAAGATCCACAGAGTTACATTGGACACATTGTACATTCATCTTTGTGTTAAGTGTCACAGGCATATGAGTGGGTTAATTCTAAAAAAATTGTATCAGCTGACTGGGCATGATGGCTCATGCCTGTAATCCTAGCACTTTGGGAGGTCAAGGTAGGTGGATTGCTTGAGCCCAAGAGTTTGAGACCAGCCTGGGCAAAACCCCATTTCTACAAAAAAAAAAAATACAAAAATTAGCGAAGCATGGTGGCGCATACCTGTAGTCCCAACTACTCAGGAGGCTGAGGGGGAGGATCACTTGAGACCAGGAAGTCGAGGCTGCAGTGAGCTATAATCATGCCACTGCACTCTAGCCTGGGCAACAGAGTGAGACCCTGTCTCCAAAAAAAAGAAATTGCATAAGCTGGGATTCCAAGGTTAACAAATGAAGCTGGATTCAAATTCTAGGTCTGTATCTCTTTGGAGAAGTTTCTTAACTTCCCTGAACCTCTTTTATTATGAAGATATTAACAGTGCCTGTCTCATGTGGTTGGTGCAAGCTTTAAATGAAATAGCACTTGTAATGCTCTTGGTACAGTGTCTTCACACTCAATAAGAGTGAACTCTTTTTATTACTAACTATAGCGCTAATCAGTAAACATGTTCTAATTGGGCCTTAATGTTGTCTACTTTTTTTTAGTCAGCTTCTAGAGATGTGTCTCCTTTCGTGTGAGTATTGCTCCTTAATCCAATCGGATATCCACTCTTAAAGAAGCATCAATGCTGATTTTTGTTCAATTTTTTCAATAGTGTGAGTATGCAGAAGAATAAGTGGGATGCCACAAGATCCTTGAGATTCAACCAGGATGCACAGAGAGAAGATGGTAAATTTTATTATTTGGGTAATGTACAAATTGGATGTAAATAGCAATGATTTGTGTGTCTTTCAGTTTATAAAGTATGCGGAATAGCTCTAGAGGTTCTAACTAAAGTAAGACCCAAAATTTACATATTCCCTTAGGCAACAACCAGAATTTCATTACTACACAACCCCACCAAATAAGGTATTATTTTATGCATCTGTGGTTTTGAGATCACTCACATTGACTTTTGCCCATTACGTTCACCATAAAGGTGACTGAATATGTTTTAGGCTGTTTTATGGTAATCTAAAAAGCAGCACAATTATCCACAAATGAGTCATTTGCCACTTGCTAACTTAAATTCTTCACAAATAGATGTATGTGTCTGTAAAATAGTATCAAAAGATATTTTCATAAACCCTTGGTGATTACAGTCTTTTTTGAGAAATAAAAAGTTATATATCATCCTTACGAAAAGTAAAGTTTACTGTTTTTTTCCCTTCAGATCAGCGGCGAATGTCTGAAATTACAGGGCATCTAATAAAAATGAGATTGGGGGATCTGGACCGAGTCAAGTCAAAGGAAGCAAAAGAAGTAAGAATTGTGTATTAGTATATTGTACTTGTGTAAAATATGCCTTCCTACTTTTATTTTCAGCTTAGGATTATAAAGATGTTTTAGGCAGAATTTTAAAAGAGTAATTTATGTGTTTTTGTTTTTGTTTTTCCTTTGAGATGGAGTTTCAGTCTTGTTGCCCAGGCTGGAATGCAGTGGTGCAATCTTGGCTCACTGCAACCTTCGCCTCCCGGGTTCAAGCGATTCTCCTGCCTCAGCCTCCCAAATAGCTGGGTTACAGCAGGCGTGCGCTACCATGCCCAGCTGATTTTTTTGTATTTAGTAGAGATGGGGTTTCACCGTGTTGGTCAGGCTGGTCTCAAACTCCTGACCTCAGGTGATCCACCCGCTTTGGCCTCCCAAAGTGCTGGGATTACAGGCATGAGCCACCGCACGTGGCCAAATATATGTGTTTTTGTTTGTTTGTTTGTTTGTTTGAGACGGAGTCTCGCTCACTGAGACTTGCAGTGGCACCATCTGGGCTCACTGCAACCTCTACCTCCCAGGTTCAAGTGATTCTCCTGCCTCAGCCTCCCAAGTAGCTGGGACTACAGGCGTGCACCACCATGCCCAGATAATTTTTTCATTTTTAGTAGAGACGGGGTCTCACCATGTTGGCCAGGCTGGTCTTGAGCTTTTGACTTCATGATCCACCCACCTCAGCCTCCTAAAGTGCTGGGATTACAGGCGTGAGCCATCATGCCTGGCCACAATTATGTATTTTTTAATATTCTGTACCAGTTAGCCTGCTTATTCACGTAAAGGTTTCCCACCATGTCTTATTATCCATGGTCCACAGGTCATCTATAACACACATAATAAAATACATCATTGCTGAAAATGTGTCATCACACTAAGAGTAGGTTAACTGTGCGTTGTTGACCAAATGCTAACTCCTGAGGGCAACTGTCTGAAAGTACCAATTTTCATCAACTCTCCATGTGGTGCTTAGATGTCAGCTCTAAAATAAGATGTTATCTTGCTGAAAATGGTGACAAGAAACACCTATATTCTTGCTAGAATTACATTTTAATCATGACATTATGTATTATCATCAGTATTGGTATTATGTAAGTACCATACTCTTGCCCTAATTCTTGTATTTAAAAATTTACTTCCCTATAAAACTTCTAAAAGGAAACATAGGAGAAAATCTTCGTGACCTTAGGAAAATATTTCTTGGCCTACAATACCAAAAGCATGATCCATAAATGAAAAATTGGACTTCATCAGCATTTAAAATTTCTACCTTTCAAAAGATACTATTTAAACAATGAAAAGACAAGCCATAAACTATGAGAAAATATGTGTAAAACACCTGATAAGGGATGTGTATCCAGAATCTATAAAGAACTCTCAAAACTCAATAATAAAATTTAAAAACCTAATAAAAATAAATGGGCAAAAGAGTAAACAGACACTATGAAAAAAAGGATTTCCATGCCAAATAAGCATATATCATTAGATGTGCTGAGATACAACATCATTAGTCCTTAGGAAAATGTAAATTAAAACCTAAATGAGGCCAGATACAGTGGCTCACACCTGTAATCCCAGCACTTTGGGAGGCCAAGGTAGAAGGATCACTTGAACCCAGGAGTTTGAGACCAGCCTGGGCAACATGATGAAACCCTATCTCTACAAAAAAATACAAAAATTAGCCGGGTGTGGTGGTGGATGCCTGTAGTCCCAGCTACTTGCGAGGCTGAAGTAGGAGGATCATTTGAGCCTGGGAGGCAGAAGTTGCAATGAGCCAAGAGCACGCCACTACACTCCTGCCTGGGCAACAGAACGAGACCCTGTCTCCAAAGGAAAAATCCCATACCAAGTGCTGATGAGGATGTGGAGCAACTGGAACTCTCATATATAGCTAGTAGAAATGCAAAAGGAATGGTCAATTCACACATTTTTATAATAGTTTTATTCATAATTGCTAAAAGCTAGAAATACTATAAATGATGTCCTTTACCTGGCAAATGGGAAAACAAACTGTGCATATAAAAAGAACATTGGACTGGGTGCAGTGACTCAGACCTGTTATCCCAGCATTTTGGGAGGCCAAGGTGGGCAGATCACAAGGTCAAGAGATTGAGACCATCCTGGCCAACATGGTGAAACCTCGTCTCTACTAAAAATACAAAAATTAGCTGGGCGTGGTAGCACAGGCCTGTAATCCCAGCTACTCAGGAGGCTGAGGGAAGAGAATCACTTGAACCAGGGAGGCGGAGGTTGCAGTGAGCCAAGATCGTGCACTGCACTCTAACGTGGACAACAGAGTGAGACTGCATCTCAAAAAAAAAAAAAAAGAACATTGAGCCCAGGAATTCAAGACCAGCCTGGGCAAAATAGGGAGACGCTGTTTCTACAAAAAATAAGAAATTAGTTGGGCATGGTGGTGCACACCTGTGGTCCCAGCTCCTCTGGTGGCTGAGGTAGGAGGATCACCCAGGAGGTCAGGGCTGCAGTAAACCTTGATCGCACCACTGCACTCCAGCCTGGCTGACAGAGTGAGATGCTGTCTCCAAAAAAAAAGGAACAAATTTCTGATGTACACATCAATATGGATGAATCTCCTCTACGTGAAAGAAGCTAGGTTCAAATGGCTGCATGCTATATGATTCTACTTATATAATGTTCTGGAAAATGCAAAACTATAAGGATAGAAAACAGACAAATAGTTGCCAGAAATTGGTAGTGGTAGGTAGATTGACTTGACAGGGGAACAAGGGAATTTTCTTTGGGGTGATAGGACTATTTTCTATGTCTTCATTGTGACAGTAGTTATAAAACTGTATGCATTTGTCAAAACCCACACCTGTACACTAAAATGGTACATTTTTCTTTATGTAAATTGAACCTCAAAAAGACTGGATTTAAAAAATCAAAATAAAATTACTTCTAAATTAAAAAGTAATCCCATTTTAATAAAGCAGAGCTTCTATTGATTCTGTGAAGATAACAGTATTGCTTCTTTATTCTGCAGTTTGCGGGAGGTATTTATTCCAGGTTGGAAGCACAAATCAAAGCCTCGGTGCCAGTCAGCGCACGCCAAAGCAGCTCGGAGAAAAACACAAGGTAAATCAGCATAAACTAAACTGGAGTGTCACTGGCTTTGAAGTGAATTTTTTTTTTAAGATAAATCATATGAACACTAGAAACATATAATTTGAGTTTGGTTTTATGTTTTGTTTCAGTGATTATATTATCAAGGCACTAATTAGAATCAGATTTTAACTTAAAAGATAAAATCTAATGAAAGTATACCTTTGTGGAATTTTTAAAGTTTTCTGCTTGTTGGACTAGCTTCATTCTGAACCAACTCCTGACAAAAATGTAAGCTAGAGTGCTTCTGTGAAGTAGCAGAATTTTTGTACTGTTTGTAGATCACATATTAATACTTTGTATAAATCACTGTAATCTTTACCATTCCTTGCTTTATATTTTATTTCTCGTAATAAAATCTAACTGGTGGGTCTTGTGTCATTTTACATCACAAGTTTTCTGTTAGAGATGAACAGTTACTGAGATTTGAACATTAATATTACAGATTCTAATTCCTTATCTATAATTCTGAAATGCAGAAAGTTCAAAAAGCTAAAAGTTGTTTTCATACATTTGTAGCAATTCAAACTTGCACTGAGCTGCTGTGATACCATTTATATTTTTTATTCATCCCACTTACATTTGATTATGGGGCACTGCTCCAGATCCATTATATACAACGTACATAACATATTATCTCTGAGAAAGAGCAAATCTGAATTCCAAAAATATATCTCCCTTTAAGAGTTTTAGAAAGTGGATTACAGAGCTGCAAGAAGATTTATTAAACCTTGATGTTGCCAAGTCAGCATAATCTAAAGGAGCACCAACTTCCTATTGTTTTAGAAGCAACTCTGACCTCCTTTTCTGTTTAAAAAATCTAGGTCTAAAAGTCGTTTTGGTCAAGGGCGTCCTGCATAAAGCACCTTAAAATATAAGTAAAAAGAGAGAAGGCACACTCCTGGACATCTGAAATTGCTCACTTCTTGAAGATCTTCAGAACAATGACTTCCAACTGTTTTATGTTATTATTATTTTAATCCACATAAATCATAATGCTAAAAGAAACATATAGTTAGGTTTTATGAAAATCTAATTGTAAATATGAAACTTTTTAAATCTGATTTTCTTTTAGTATGATTCTAGGCTATGTAGAGAGCAATTATTTACAAATCTGCATAGTTGAGATGCCCAGTGTTTTCCTTTATTTATTTGAAAAAGAAGAGGCCTAAACTGTCAGGTAGCTAAGTTTTTTTAAGACCTTAAAAGTTAGGGGAACACAACTGGTAGTGTTACCATGCATGTGTGCTGATTGTAGTATGTCTTTGGAGCTGTAAATCTTGAGATAGCATTGAGAACTGCAGTTTGTGTGATGAAATTCCCAATGATGCTAATTTTAAGTCTGCATGAATGTTAAGGAGTGACAGGTCTCAAGACTGCATTAGATAAAGTTTCAGGGTAAGGTATTTCAGTACTGTGTTGGGCAGAAGGGTTAATTTTTTTCAGCATTATATCATGGAAAGTACAATGTTAATCCAACTTTTTTTTTCTTTCAGTTTTTAATGCTTTTCTATTGATCATCTGAGCTGGAATTACTGATTATTACCTCTGTCCTCTGTGAAACTAGTGGCATTCTGAATTTGGTAAAATAACCATTGATAGTTTTAGGATAGTAAATCATTTCTGTTGTATGAGACACCCACTATACAGTTCTCAGGGCTCTAAAACCCAACCATATTTCTATAACCATTCAAATAACTACTTAAAACAGTTATACTTGCTAGTTCGAGATGTCTAAAATTTTCCAAATACAATAGATGGGTGAAAAATTGCATATATTCAAGAAAAATCAAAATAAAATTCTATTTTATAAATCATGTTTAAATTTTTCTAACCAGGCAGAAAGAGTGCTCAGGGAAAATTTGTTCCAAACTATAATCATATAATAAATTATGTGTTTGTAAATTATATGTAGGTCTCTGAAAAACTTTAAGATGCACTGTTTCTATTTTTTTAAGTCTTAATTTGCCTTATAATTGACATTTCTTCAAATTATTCAGAGAACAGACTTTAATGTGTGACAAAAGAGCAATTTCCATTGAAATGTTGAAGTGTTACACTCAGTTTACACGTACAGAAATCATTCTTTTTAGTGAGTCTTTTAGTTGATAAATGAAGCTAGATGTTATTTGATAATCTTGGCTTTGCCAAGGTTTTTGAACTGCTGCTTGAAAATTTTGTTCCAGTTTATATTTGTTTCGATTGTTTGATACTGTGGAAATAGACTTTTATTTTCTAAAGAAAATGTCTTGTAGTACATATTATATGTAAGTACTCTGTTAAACACCAGAGTTTTTTTGTAGCTTACTGTGTTTTCTGTTAAAAGGATTTGGGTTTGTGCATGTAAACAGTGCTGTAATGGTCACTAGATAAGGAAAAAATACATATGCTCTTTCAATTTTTAACTGATGGTAAAAAGGCAAACTGCTTCTCCCCTGAGGGGACTGTACCACTGAATTGATTTTACAAACCAGAGTTTATCAGAATTTGATTCTCTTCAGAATGCTTTTGGCCAGGTGCAGTGGCTCATGCCAGTAATCCCAGCACTTTGGGAGGCCGAGGCGGGCGGATCACCTGAGGTCAGGACTTTGAGACCAGCCTGGCCAACATGGCGAAACCCCATCTCTACTAAAAATACAAAAAGATTAGCAGGGCATGGTGGCACACACCTATAGTCCCAGCTACTCAGGAGTCTGAGGCACAAGAATTGTTTGAACCCAGGCGGCAGAGGTTGCAGTGAGCCGAGATCATGCCGCTGCTCTCCTAGCCTGGGTGACAGAGTGAGACTCCATTTCAATTAAAAAAAAAATAATGTGTTTTTTATTTTGTTAATGTTTGTCTGTTATACATAGCACAGGTACCACAAACATTTTACTTAAACTCTTAATAGCATTTCTTTTGCCAGATACTTCAATATTTCAATATTACATTAATCCTGGATTCACATTTCTTTAATCGAAATAAATGTTAATGACAAAAGTTGTTTGGAAAGTCTATTTATCTGAATTATTCCATCTTCTCAGAAAAAAAGTCCAGAGTGGCTCTAGATTCCACAAGTTTTCATGGAAAGTTATCTCTGCTACAAGGTGAAATTTTTAAGTTTTAAGATTATTTTAGGGCAGGCACAGTGACTCACCTCTGCAATCCCAGCACTTTTGGAGGCCAAGGCAGGAGGATTGCTTGAGCCCAGGAGTTCAAGATCGGCCTGGGTAACATAGTGAGACCTCGTCTCTACAAAAATAAAAATTTAAAAAATTAACCTGGCATGGTGGCATGCACCTGTGGTCCCAGGTATTAGGGAGGCTGAGGTGGAAGAAATGCTTGAACCTGGGAGTTCAAGGCTTCAGTGAGCCATGATTGTGCCACTGCACTCCAACCTGTGCAGCAGAGCAAGACCCTGTCTTAAAAAAAAAAAAAAAAAAGATTATTTTAAATGAGGTTATGCTGGTAAAGATTTACCAAACATTTAAGGGATAAAATACTTCAGAAAAGATGATCTGATAACAATGCTGATTGTACACAATTGCATTTATTTGTTACTTTCCTTCTTCACAATACTCAGCCAGCTACAGTGAGATGTGCTTATTGCTTTGGAAGCTGAGGCTGAAACTCTGTCAAGCTCGTCTACTAAAGGCACGTTATAATATAAAAACAAACCAAAAAAATGGATTTTGTCTTTAATTCCTGGAATTAATTCTGCAGCCAACTTTCAGCTATTCACTGAGCAACTATGTCACACCTCCCAGGACTGGGATACCTATCCAGTTTAATTCTAATAGGCTAACTCTCTGTCTCTTATTTAAAGCTGATCTATTGGGGAAGATGGTACAAGAATAATATTATTCCACCCTTTTAAGATTTTGGGGCAATTAAATGAGTTAATAGATCTAAAACAACTAGCACAGTACTTTCTGGCCTATAGTAAGCCCTCCATAAAGGTTTGCTATTATTGTTGCATTGTTATGTTAATATGTGGAAGGTACCCTAAATTCTTTGAGAGTTTCATATCCCCTTTCCTGTAACTTGAGTTGCTAAGACTGTGTATGTGTGTGCGTGTATATATTTAGTGCAAGAAGGGAGGCACCTAATACTTTCATGGTTTCTATGGCATCATTTGAGATTTAAAAGAAAATCGTATTAAATGTCTTATCTTATTTAGGCAAAGTAAGTGGCATTCGTAGAAAGAGCTAGGTAAAGAATACTGTTTCCTGATACGTGGTAGGGAAGTATGTGGTAGGGAGCTATGCTGTTTTCAAAGAGGCTTCAACTGAAGGACAGTAAGTGAAGGCCATAGCGAAGTCTAATAGCAGCTCTCTTTCTAAGATGTGTCTTTCCTTGAGAAAATATAGCCAGTTTGGTTCTTACTATTTGTTTATGAACACAGCCAATTCTTAGCAAACTGAAGGTGATGGTCCTAGTAGTTGCTATTTGTTGAATGCTTTGGATATACTGAAGATCATGCTCCTGATATATTCTTTATCTTCTTTAACCTCACAACACCCCCCCCAAAAAAATTGAGCATTATCCCATTTTACAGGTGGAAAAGAACGTTCAGCGAGGCAAAGTAAACTACATACTGGGGTTGGAACCTGGGCTTATCAATACATTCCAACACCTTCTTGAAATAGTTTTCCCTTGGGTTGCCTGAAAATTTTCTCTTAGAGGCCTCCTGCCTCACTGGCAGCTTCTTCAGACTGAAAGCAGGTAACTGCAGCACGCTTTCTGTAGTTCTAGACTAGTTTATTCAACTGTCTGCTTAACATTTGTACTTGGAGTACCAGTAGGTATCTCCAACTTAATTAACATAATCAAAACAGAACTTGTGATATCCCTTCCCATTCCTGCCCCCAAACTCCCTGCTTATTCAAACCCATTCTTTTCCAGTTCAGTAAATGGCATTATTGCCTACCGAAGTGCACAAGGCAAATATCTAGAAAGTATTCCTTACTCTTCTCTTTTCTTCACACCTGACATTCAATTTATCAGCTAGTCCCATACATACTGCACATCCATTTGCTTCTCTCTATCTCCACTATCACCACCCCCAGTTATTAACATCTTTTGCATGAAGTGCTACAAATGTCTCGTAAGTAATTCCCCAGCTTCCATTTCAACCTCTGTATAACTTGTTGTGCACAAAACAACTTTCGTGATTTTTCAGTGTGACTCAGATCACATCACTCCCCTGCTTAACACTAATAGCATCCCATCAAACCTAGAATAAAATCCAACCTTCGGGCTGGACGCAGCTGCTCACACCTATAATCCCAGCACTTTGGGAGGCCAAGATGGGCAGATCACTTGAGGTCAGGAGTTTGAGACCAGCCTGACCAACATGGCAAAACCCCATCTCTACTAAAAAATAGAAAAATTAGCTGGAAATGGTGGTGGGTGCTTGCAATCCCAACTACTCAGGAGGCTGCAGCAGGAGAATTACTTGAACCCGGGAGGTGGAGGTTGCCGTGACCTGAGATCGTGCCACTGTCTCAAAAAAAAAAAAAAAAACCATCCCAACCTACACTAGTCCTACATGGCCTAGCCCCTGGCTGCCTCTCAGACTTCATTTTCCCTCTTAATTACTACGTTGGAATGTAGTAAGTCATTCCCACCTTTCCATTCCTTGACATTAGCCATTCCCGCTGTCTAGAAGGCTGTTATAATTCAGGTTTTAGTTTAGATGTTACTTCCTCACAGGAGGTATTTCCTGTGTGCTTAGTATAAAATATCCATCCAAGTCACTCTCATCACCTCATAGTTTATTTCTGTGCATACCTGACATTATTACTCTGATACTTTCCTTCCTTTATTTGTTGGTTTTGCAATCTGTATCCCATGATAAAATGTGAACACCAGAACAGAGATCTGGTCTTCTTGACTACTGCTATGTCCCCAGTGCCTAGAACAGTGATTGGAGCAGCTGGCACCAAAAACCTTTCCTCTGGAGTTCATGTTTTTGGGTGGTATCTCCAGGATCTGGACTGTCCTCAGCCTGGCATCATCGTAATCTGTATCTGTTGGAGTTGCAGCAGATAGAGGCCTTGTCACAAATACCTTGTCATGGGTTCTCAAGATCAGTCTGTCACCTATAGAAAGTTATACTAGATTAGTTTGATGTAGACATGAGTCCAGGTGAATTCTGCTGAAATCTGGGCAGCTTCAAGTTCTGAGCAGAATAGAAAGTTAAGTAAGCTGACCTGATGGCCACCCTTTTATCTCAACAGTATATTAAACATGAACACTTGGATAATAAGTAACCACTGCAGCATTTTATGGTGAAGATGCTATGGAATTATGAGCATCTCATAAGCTCACCAAAGTGATTAGGTAATTGTTTTCCATCCTTATATTTTCCCACCTTTTCCCACTTTTTTCTTTGTCTAAAAATAAAATTATAAACGGAAAAAAAGAATGAAGAAAAATGAACAGAGCCTCAGAGAAATATGAGACATCATTAAGCTTGCTAACATACATCTAATGGAAGTTCCAAAAGGAGAGGAGCGAGAGAAAAGAAGAGAAAAAAAATATTTAAATAAATAGGGGCTGAAAACTTTCCAAATCTGATGGAAAACTTTACACATACAAGAAGCTCAACAAACTCTTAAGAGGTTAAATGCAAAGATATCCACAAACACACATTATAGTAAAAAATGGTCAAGGACAAAGAGAAAAGCTTGAAGAAGCAAGAGAAAAATCCTTACTTATGGTTGGGCACAGTGGCTCACACCTGTAATCCCAGCACTTTGGGAGGCCGAGGTGGGCAGATCACGAGGTCAGGAGATTGAAACCATCCTAGCTAACATGGTGAAACCCCATCTCTACTAAAACTACAAAAAATTAGCCGGACATGGTGGCATGCGCCTGTAGTCCCAGCTACTCGGGAGGTTTAGGCAGGAGAATTGCTTGAACCCAGGAGGTGGAGGTTGCAGTGAGCCAAGATCACACCACTGCACCCCAGCCTGGGTGACACAGCGAGACTCTGTCTCAAAGGAAAAAAAAGAAAAATCCTTCCTTACAAGAGAACCCCAATAAGATCAACAGCTGACTTCTTATCAGAGGCAGTGGAGAACAGAATGCAGTGGATAACAGCCCAGGCACAGTGGCTCAGGCCAAGAAGGGAGGATTGCCTGAAGCTAAGAGTTCAAGACCAGCCTGGCCAACACAGGGAGACCTCTACAAATAATTGTTTGGGTTTTTTTTTTTTTTTTTTTTTTTTTTTTTTTTTGAGATGGAGTTTTGCTCTTTTCACCCAGGCTGGAGTACAGTGGTGTAATTTCAGCTCACTGCAACCTCCACCTCCCAGGTTCAAGTGATTCTCCTGCCTCAGCCTTCCAAGTAACTGGGATTACAGGCCACCACACCCAACTAATATTTTGTATTTCTAGAGATGGAGTTTCGCCATGTTGGTCAGGCTGGTCTCGAACTCCCGACCTCAGGTGATCCATCCGCCTTGGCCTCCCAAAGTGCTGGGATTACAGGTGTGAGCCACCGCACCCAGCCTTACAAATGAATTTTTTAAATAGCCAGACATAGTGGCACACACCTGTAATTCCAGCTACTTGGGAGGCTTAGGTGGGAGGATCACTTGAGCCCAGGAGTCGGAGGCTGCAGTGAGCTATGATCACACCACTGTACTCCAGCATGGGAGACAGAGGGAGATCCTGTCCTAAAATGAAGGAGAAGGAGAAGGCAGTGGGATAACATTCAAAGTGCTCAAAGAAAATCTGTCAACCAAAAATCCTACATTCAGCAAAAATTCTTTCAAATATGAAGACAAAATAAAGAGATTCCTAGATAAACAAAAATTGAGATAATTCATTGCTATCAGACCCACTGTACAAAAAATACTAAAAGAAAGTTATTTAGGTGGCCAGGCACAGTGACTCACACGTATAATCCCAGCACTTTGGGAAGCCGAGGCAGGTGGATCACCTGAGGTCAGGAGTTTGAGACCAGCCTGGCCAACATGGTGAAACTGCATCTCTACTAAAAATACAAAAATTAGCTGGGTGTGGTGGCAGGCACCTGTAATCCCAGCTACTCGGGAGGCTGAGGCAAGAGAATCACTTGAACCTGGGAGGCAGAGGTTGCAGTGAACCGAGATCGTGGCATTGCTCTCCAGCCTGGGCAACAACAGTGAAACTCCACCTCAAAAAAAAAAAAAAGTTATTGAGGCTGAAACAAGTGACTCTAGATACTAATACACAAAAGCATTAGTAAAGATGGCATGCATATTTATTTTCTTAACTAATTTTTAAAAGCAATTGAATATGTATATAATTTTATTGTTGGAACTATACCAAAGAAATGTGATGTATTTGCCAATAACAGCACAAAAGAGGTGGATGGGAGCAAAGCTATATTGGACTAAGGAAATGACTCCCAGTGGTAATACAGGAACAAATGAAGAGAACCAGAAATGAGAAATAAATTTGATACAATAAAAGCTATAAATATATATTTATAGGCCAATGCAACAAAAGCTGTAAGTATATTTTTTTCTCCATTTTCTTCCCTCAGCTTTTTAAAAACGTATAAAAGTAAAGTAATAATTATAGCAATATATTACTGGGTTTGTAACATATATAGAGATGTATAACAATACCACAAGAGGAAACAGGGAATGGAGCTATATATGAATAATGTTTCTATATCTCTTTGGAATTGTAAATGTGAAGCAGATTCTGATGTTAAGATGTATGTATGGTAAGCCCTGGAGCAACAACTGAGGAAACAATTCAAAAAATATATAGTAAAAAATCATTTAAAAGCTAATGTTACATCAGAAAATATTTACTTAATGCAAAAGAAAGGAAAAGAGGAATAAAGAAACAGAAAACATAGGAGGCATGGAGAAAGCAAAAAGTAAACCAGCAAAAGTAAATCCAGCTATATAAATAATAGCATTAAATGTGAATATGTTATCCATCAAAAGGCAGAGAACATCAGACTAGATAAGAAAACAAAATCCCAACTAAACGCAGTATATGGGAGACAGACTTTAAATTCAAGGACACAGATGGATTCAAAGTAAAAGGATAAAAAATTATATAACATGCAAACAGCAACCATAAGCAGGAGTGGTTATACAAAATAGGCTTCAAAAAATTATTAGAAATAAAGAGGGACATTTTATAATAAAAGGGTCACTCCATCAGGAAGATACAACAATTATAACCATATGTGAACCAAAAAGCACCAAAATTCATAAAGTATAAACTGCCAGAACTGAAAGGGGAAATAACACAATTCAACAAGGATGGGCTTTCAATAATGGATAGACCAATAAGGCAGAAGATTGACAAGGAAACAGATGACTTGAACAACACTATAAACCAACAAAACCAACAGACATCTATAGACACTCCACTCAACAACAGCAGGATATACATGTTTCTCCAGTGCATATGGAACATTCTCCCGGATAGACCATGTGCTAAGCCATAATACAAGACCCAATACATTTTAAAGGAAAGAAATAATACAAAGTATGTTCTCTAACCACAAAGGAATTAAAAATAATATACGATAACCACAATAGAAATTAGAGGCTGGTGTGGTGTCACACATCAGTAATTGCAGCACTGAGAGGCCAAGTCTGGAGAATCACTTGAGCCCAGCAGTTTGGGACCAGCGTGGGCAACATGATGTGACCCCCATCTCTACAAAAATTTATTTTTAATTAGCCGGGTACAGTGGCACATGCCTGTAGTCCCAGCTACTCGGGAGGTTTAGGTGGGAGAATTGCTTGACTTAGGAGATCAGGGCTGCAGTGAGCCATGTTCAAACCACTGCACTCTAACGTGGGCAAGAGAGCAAGACCCTGTCTCAAAAAAAGAAAGAGAAAGAACAAGGAAATCTGAGAAATCCACAGATACGTGGAAGTTAACATACTACTGAGTAACTAATGGGTGAAGGAAGAAATCACAAGGGAAATTAGGAAATACTTTGAGATAAATGAAAAGAAAGACAACATACCAAAACATATGGGATGTAGCTAAAGCAGTGCCTAGAGAGAAATTTGTAACTGTAAATGCTTAAATAAACAGGAAGAAATAATGTAGGATAAACAGGTTTAAAGATCTAATATATAGGCTCGAGCTGTAGGCATGCAGGGCCGGAAACGCTGCAGACCCACGGCCTGGAGCAGCTCGGAGGTGGTGAATAATAGCTCTTCACGTCTGCAATAAAAAATGGCCTCCAATAAAACTACATTTCAAAAAATAGGAAAAAAACAATAGGAAGAGTAAAAAAGTTGAAGAGGCAGAGCCTGAAGAATTTGTGGTGGAAAAAGTACTAGATCGATGTGTAGTGAATGGGAAAGTGGAGTATTTCCTGAAGTGGAAGGGATTTACAGATGCTGACAATACTTGGGAACCTGAAGAAAATTTAGATTGTCCAGAGTTGATTGAAGCATTTGTTAACTCTCAGAAAGCTGGCAAAGAAAAAGATGGTACAAAAAGAAAATCTTTATCTGATAGTGAATCTGATGACAGCAAATTAAAGAAGAAAAGAGATGCTGCTGACAAACCAAGAGGATTTGCCAGAGGTCTTGATCCTGAAAGAATAATTGGTGCCACAGACAGCAGTGGAGAATTGATGTTTCTTATGAAATGG